GGGGCCCGCACGACTCCTCCTCCTCCTCCTCCTCCTCGATACTACCTCCTTGGAAAAGTGATTCTAGTGTTGTTGTTTTTCCTGTACTCAGGGCACAGTTGGTGACTTTTTTAAGCCGCCTCGCAGCAATGTGGGGCAAACTGACAGGGTATCGCGTGTTGTTTGATTTGTAAGTTGGAGAAGGGAGAGCCTCGGCCACTCCCCCAAAGCCCGGCCACACAGGCCAGCCTCCCCCTGCCCCCCCCCCGGAGAAGGCCAAGAAGCCGCCCTGGGGTGACGACGACCCAAGCAAGGGTCCCCCCCTCGTGCCAGAGAAAGGGGGAGGAGAGTTGGCCTCCCCGCCTCTCTTGGGCTTTGGTGGGCTGGCAGGGCCTCCCCTCTCCGTGTCTAGAGTGCGAGTGTGTGCATGCCTGTGTGTAAGTGTCTCCCCTAGCACCGTGCCAGCCACGGCACGTCCACCTTTCCACCCTTGTCCTGATAACGAAGGCTTTAAAGATGATAATGATCTTGTACCAAAGAATTTTCTGTAGAAGAAAAAAGCTGCATATTTTCCAAAAAAAGAAGATGATTGTGTTAGTTGAAAAAAATGTAGGTTTGAATCCATTTTATTGCCTAAGTAGCTACTAACCAGAAGCGGAAGAGAACCGAACGGCCGGGGCCTTCTCTGGATCGTAGGAATTGGTTGACTAGATTAGTTATTCCAGTTTTAACTACCTTATTGTTACATGAATCTCTTTTCTTTTCTTTTTTTAAAGAAAATTGAAATAACCGCTCCAAAGACTTCCAAGTGTAATTACGTTTTCCTTTTCTTCGGCAATTAGCTTTTTGACAGTCCAGTATTAGAATGTTTTTGTTGTGGGTTTTTTTCTTTCTCCAAATCTACTTGCTGAAGAAAAAGAAATCCTTCTCACCAAAGATTTATTTTTTTTTGGTCTCGTGGGACAAAATTGTCGCACGTGCAGCAGAAGTGAGACAAGAACATCTTGGCCGTGGCGTGAAGCTTCCCACAGGGGCTTCCCGACTGTCCGTGTCTCTGACCAATGCGCAGAGAGCCGCTCTGCCTGGGGTAACCATTTCCTTCTCCAAAGACTGGTTTGCTGTGAGTGCTGCCGCCCCTCTGGGATCCCTGCTCGGTGCTGTCGGTGAACTTGACTCCTTCGCGTCGCCACGCCAAGGGCTGGAAAGGCTCCGGGGCTGTTCCTGTGACAGGCGGTTGCTGCAACCTACCCCAACGGCTGGAGGGACCGGAGTGGCGAGCCCTGCGGGAGGAGGAGGGACGCTGCCGGGTTCCCCAAAGCTCTCTCCAGCCGCCCCCCGGGCAGTGAGTTCCGTGCAACTCGCCTGTGGCCAGAGCTGAGATCCAGTTAGCTACAGGCAGTGTGGCCTGGCCTCCCACGCCAGCCAGAGAAATGACGTTTCTCCCAGTACTTTTTAGCAGCAAATGGAGACAACCAAAGATATTTAAGGTTACCTCAGGGTCGAGGCGTGTGTGTGTGTTAGTTAGGCCGCTTTGCCTTGCTTTCCTTGTTTGCCATAGCGTTAGGTGGTGATGAGTCCTCCCAGGCCCATCGCCTTCACCCCACCCCCTCCCCGCCCAACGTTGTGACTCTCTTGCCTTGCTGGGGCAGGACCAAGGCCTGTCTCGGACGCAGCAGAAGGGGCTTCCGCCTCCGCTGAGCCCAAGAATCGGCTGTTGGGCTGCTGCTGCTGCTGCCACCGCCGCCCCACGGGCACGGCCTCGTGTCACCCAAATCCTCTCTGAGGGACACAGATTTGCTGGGGCACCAAAGATGCCCATTGACCTGCCCAGCAGAGGGGGCCACAGAACTGCCGTTCCTTAAGCCTTTCCCGCCTAGCCAAGGGAGGAGAAATCCCGTTGACTCCAGTGGGCATTTGAATTGGGGCACCTACCAAAGCTACTCTCGGCAAGACACATACTCTAGAGTAGTCCCACTGATCTCAGAGGGACACCAAAGAAATGACTCTGGAGTAAGTGGCATGTTGAGAACGCAGTCTTTTAAAAAAGTGGCCGTGATACTGACAGACATCCAAGCAGCATCCGTTGTGCAGGGCACAAAAATGCGCATGCGCAGCAACCCACAGCGACTCTGTCCAAAGATCTCAAGTTCTGGAGGTGGGAAGGTTTTCTCTCCTCCCCCCCAAAAAAATACAACTTAGAGGCTCCTAGATCCAAATGCTCTGTTAACATGTAGGGGGTGTGCATCAGTGCTCAAACGTGATTTGGAGAATCCCCGGTGGACTGCTTGAGCCTCCCGGGCCTTCTTTGCACCCCAAGCAACAGAAGCGGGGCTGGCGACCAGAGCTGCCCCCCTCCCAGCCCCCTTTAATGCTCTGGGTCTAAATCTTTTCCTCCGTGCTGAATGGCATCGACGCACATAGCCTAACCCGACCGCACAGGGTTGTTGTGAGGATAAAATAGAGGAGAGGGGAATGATGTCAGCGACTTTGTTTTCCCCCCCCCCCCCCGCATAGAAATGCTGGTTACGGGATCCAGTGAGCTCCGCCATGTTGCCTGGATGGGGGGTTCAGTTCGCATCCTGTGACCTCGCCCACTTTTCCTCCAAGGCAGTTCCCCACCACCACAGTGTGGAGCGGGGGTTGGTCTCCCTGCTGGGCACACCCCCCTTGCCTCTGTGTGGTGCTTTTGGTCAGTGGCTCGTGCCCGGAGCCTAGGCTTCGGTTGAAAACGTTGGGTCCCCCCCCGCCCCGCCCCTGTTGTATTCTGAAGATGTGAATGAACTGCAGGGAGTGTGGGAGGCCAGGGGTGTTTCTCGAGGGATGGGTGTTCTGGATCCCGTCACTCCCTTTTGCTCTTTCTTGTACGGGCGGCAGCAGCTGACTGGCGAACGGGAGACGCGGCTGAATTATATTAATTTTATATTTGACTCAGGGGATCAGCCCAGGGACTCCCGTTGCATGAGGGCAGCTGCTGTTTGCTGTGATCATGAATGTACCTCTTCTAAATGTCCTTTTTTTAATGTTTTGTTTAATAACGTGGAATTTTTAAAAAAAGAATCCCCCCCTTTTTTTATATATATATATATATAGCATTGTAGTGAATGTTAACCTCTGTGTGTTTCTCTGCCTCCCCCGGGCTTGTTCTTTCGACAAGCACAAATGTCATGCCAAAAAAATGAGTAGAAGTTTCAATGCCAAAAATGTTTATGAAACTGCTGTCTAAATACTGATGGGATTGCACAGTTTGAATAAAAGTTTCCTTTAGTAAACCGTTGTCCTCGTTCTCCCTGTAAGGAGTCATTTCCTTTCCAGTCTCTACAGAGTTCTCTTTAATGGGGCGGAGCTCTTGGGATGTGCCAGAGGTCCTGGTAGCAGCAGCAGCAGCAGCGTCCCAGGTGGGCCGGGGCTCTGTGACTGCCGCACGTAAACCTAAAAAAAGAGGAGGGCATCTCCTCCAAGAGAAGTCATACATACACCCCGCCCGCCCCCCCCATGCCAGGAGAGAAAAATGCAAGTGCCGTACAGCTGGGGGTGGGGTCTTGGGTCACTGCTCTGGTTTGGGTGTTAGGAATCCTTCCTCCCCTCTGTGGCCCGATCCAAACTGCGCCCAGATCCTAAAATAGAGCCAAATCTAAGCTTAAACTGCACAGCTCTGGAGCATCCCTTGGCAGGCAACCTGGCCGGAGATTTGAGGCCGCGGGGAAGGGCGTGTGGCCCGTCACCATGCCAGGCCCAGCTACGCAACTCACTGGTGTGTGCCCTGACAATCCCCACAACGCGATCCACTGCCTTCCTGACGTGGTGCCCCTCTCCTGGCTCCCCTGCATGACAGCTGTGCCGGTGGGTGGGTGGGGAGTACCCTCCACTTCAGCACGTGATGGGGCATGGCCCCGCCAGGCTGATGGGCTTGTGGCTCAGGGGCAGAGCCTCTGCTTGGCACACAGAAGGTCCCAGGCCCAATGCCCACGCCAAGGGATTGGGCCGGAGGGGATGTCAAAGACCTCTTTCTGCCTGAGATCCCGAAGAGTGGGTGCCCGTCAGAGGCCCAAATGAAGAAGAAGAGGAGGAGGAGATTGGATTTCTACCCCGCCCTTCACTCAGAGTCTGAGCGGCTTACAAGCTCCTTTCCCTTCCCCTCCCCACAACAGACACCTTGTGAGGCAGGTGGGGTTGAGAGAGCTCTTGACAGAAACTGCTCTTTTTCAAGAACAGCTCTTATTAGAACTAGGGCTTGCCCAAGGTCATCCAGCCAGGTGCAAGTGGAGGAGTGGGGAATCAAACCCGGTTCTCCCAGATTAGAGTCCGCGCACTTCACCACTACCCCAATCTGGCTCTCTTAACCAAGAGACGTTAGAGCTGTAGCACAAATGTTCAAAGCCGCTGAAATAGAGTTAATGTCAGTTTCTGCGAGCCTTTGGTCGTTACCTACAAGAGTATTTAAAAGATGATAATTAGAATGAATACAGAAGGTAGTTAAAATAAAAAAAACGGGTGATGGACTCTTGTATCTGGGCTGCCCACGGGCAGTGTCTCTGCTATGGAGGAATCCCCACAAATCTACCGCGAAGTTCCACCAGAGGGAGTTCATGAAGAGTGCCAATGAGAATAACCTGTGGTAAGGTTGGAACTGTGAGATGAAATAGGTGCGTGCGGCAAGTAAAAGGAAGGTGAAGGCAAAAAGCCGCAAACGTTGGGAAGCAAACTCGCTTAGCATCCGCTAATAAACGCTGCCAGTCTCGTTAGAGTTTCCCAGTCACAAAAGAGCAGGCCAGTGAGGGAGAAACCCATTTCGATAATCTTTCTGTCTACATTTTGGCTCCGTACGCTACTGTAAGTATCTCAGCAAAGACACGGCAGTGGAGTCAGAAGAGAGTCTGCAAGAACGAGGATTAGCCTATCTTCTGTTTCTGCTGACTGTGCTAGTGTGGAGAGTCTGCTGTCGCAGAGGGCGCTCGGGTAGGGGCAGCTGCTGATGCTGCCCAGTTGCAGGGTGACCCTTGCAGAAGGCTTTCCTCCAGATTCTCCCAGATTAGAGTCCATGCACTACACCACTACACCAAACTGGCACTTCACCCCCACACCCTGCTAATGAGGGGGCAGCCTCCTTTGAGGTGTGTGTGGGGGGGGGGTAGAGAAGCCCGGCCACAACTTCCAGCTCCTCAGCAGGTCAAGAGTTGCCGCTCCGGCTGAGGGGTTTCGTGTTGGGGTTCTGCACCCGGACTTGCGCTCTGCGGGATACCCGAGCCCCCTGCCTCCAAGACCCCCAGCCCTTCCCGCCTTTGGTGGGCCTGAGAGTGGCTGCCCTGCTGGCCGAACGCGCCTTCTCCACCCCTGGACTCCTGCCTGGGTGTTTGCAGCCCGTCAGCTATGCCAGGGCTGTGTGC